AAAAAAGTCAGCATGAAAGATTCATAGGACACAGGAGTGGCTCTCAGGCCACTATCTGAAAAATTCCATCTGAAAAATATTGTCTTATGAAGCCAACTTTGGTTTAAGAGGTGAACTTTTGATTCAAGTTTGAAACCCTGTTTGATTTACCCAGCATTGTCATAGAGAATGACAATGATAATGCTGCTTAACACGCTCTCTTACCTATGGCTAATTGATCAGATTCATAAAATCTGGATGTCCTTATGGGAAAGGCTGTCCTTGGCTCGGAAGTGGAGGGATAAAGTTATGTAAGAATTCATAATGGACTGAAATACTGTGAATCTTCAAATTAAGTCATGACATAATTGTTGAACGTGGAAAACAAAATAACCCTGTTAGAGGGTAAATAAATAAAAGCCAAAGATCTTGACATTCCAGAAACGACAGGAAAGGCTTAGAGGAAATACACATGGGCGACACAAGGCCATGACTGGGCTTGAAAATCATGCAGAGGGTCAGACTGCTGTGAACCACAAGGTCGTGGGTGTAACTAGGGAGTGGAGCAATTGACTGAAGAAAGGAAACTGCAGGTTCCCTGGCTGGACGCGTTTCCTGTCTTGGATGTCTGGATTTGTCTCAAGGCTTCAATGGCCTTAACTTCCATGTCCGTGGGAGTCGAACTGGGGATTTGGCAGAGTGTATTTATTCATCACTGAGTGAGGGTTGAGGGGGAGTGGGCTTCAGAAGGAAGCGTTTAAGAGCACACTGACCACTTGCAGACAACCATCCTCTACACACCAGCGTCCAGATCGTTGCTAACGCAGAGGAGAATCTGGGAGGCAGGAGCGTGGGGAGCAGGAAGGCACCAGACTCCCCGAAGCGACTCAGGTGTGCAGGTAAGCCACGGCGGCGCTGGGAGCCCCGCGCAACAGTAGGGCAAGTTCAACATTAAAAAACACAAAAATGTGGTTTTGACTTCAGAGAAGATTGGAGATAATAACACAAGAAATTTCTGAGTACTCCCTTTAAAGTCCTTTTATTACTGATTAAAAGACTTTATTTCAAGAAGACACACAGACAGACCTTCCACCTGCTGGTCAATTCCCCAAATGTCAGCCACGCTGGGGCTATAGGTCATTCCAGGAACGCTGAAGTCACTCCGTCTTCCACTTGCGAGGCAGCGATCCGAGTACCTAAGCCAACACTTGCTACTGCTCAGGAAGTAGCCGCAGGCTGGATCGGAAGCAGAGAAGCTAATCCTCAAGGCAGGCGCTCTAATGAGAGGAATATGGGCATCCCAAGACGCATCTTAACCCAGACTAAATGACCACCGCACTCCTGAGCACGTTTTTTTAAGATTTATTTATTTTTATTTTCATTACAGAGCCAGATATACAGAGAGAAGGAGAGACAGAGAGGAAGATCTTCTGACCAATGGTTCACTCCCCAAGTGACCACAATGGCCAGTGCTGCGCCGATCTGAAGTCAGGAGCCAGGAACTTCTTCCTGGTCTCTCACACAGGTGCAGGATCCCAAGGCTTTGCGCCGTCCTTGACTGCTTTCCCAGGTCACAAGCAGGGAGCTGGATGGAAAGTAGAGTTGCTGGAATTAGAACTGGCGCCCATATGGGATCCGGTGCGTTCAAGGCGAGGACTTTAGCTGCTAGGCCACGCCAATGGGCCCACTCCTGAGCACTCTTACCAAGATTGATTGTTTTAGAATTTCCTCCCACATTTATTTTATCATCTTATGCATCTGTAAACACATAGACGCCTACACATCTGTGTACATGTATTCTATATTGAGAGTGGGTTAAATACATTGGGCTCTGTTGCTCCTGTATATTTCAGGTTTCATTTGCTAGGACAAAGATATTTTCTTAAATAAGAATAAAGCTTCAAAATAGTATCTTTTAATTTCCTTTTTCCTTTTTTTTTTGAAGATTCATTTTATTTTCATTGGAAAGTCAGATATACAGAGAGGAGAGACAGGAAGATCTGTCCATTGACTCATCCCCCAAGTGACCACAATGCCTGGAGCTGAGCTGATCCGAAGCCAGGAACCAGGAACAACTTCTGGGTCTCCCACATGGGTGAAGGATCCCAATGGTTTGGGCCATCCCAAACCACTGGTTTGTGGCTGCTTTCCCAGGCCACAGCAGGAAGCTGGATGGGAAGTGGGGCTGCCAGGATTAGAACCAGCACCCATATGGGATCCCAGCGTGTGTAAGGAGAGGGCTTTTAGTCACTAGGCTACTGCACTGGGCCCCCTCCTTTTTTTTTTTTTAAGAGATTTATTTATTTACTTGAAAGAGTTAAAGACCGGCAGAGACAGAGATCTTCAATCTACTGGTTCATTTCCAAATGTCTGCCATGGAGGGGCTATGCAAGACTGAAGCCAGGAGCCAGAAACTCCTCCCAGGTCTGCCATGTGAGTGGCAGGGGTTCACACCCTTGGGCCATCCTCACCTGTTTTCCCAGGTGCATTAGCAGGGAGCTGGATTGGAAGTGGGATAGCCAGGACCTGTGTTCATATGGGATGTTGGTGTCAGTAGGCAACATCTTAACCCACTCTGCCAAAACCTTGCTTGCACAGTGCAACTTTAAAATTCAGTGGCCCTAAATCAACATAAACTCTATTTGCTCCACATACTACAATCTAATTTTACCAAAAGTCTTAGTAGAAGTTTTCCCAACATCTTTTTCCTGGTCTGTAATGCCTCTTTTTTGGTAGGGAGATGAGAATATAACTCGGCAGGGGACCCAAGTTTCTTGCTCATGCCTGCAATTGTCATCAGAGCCTTTATTGGGGGGACCCTCGACAGGGGAACCCCTCAGCAGGCCAATTGCTGGGTTTTCCTCACTTTCATTCTTATCTCACTTCTTCCTGAACAGCACAAACCTAATCACCAGGGACACTTAAGTCAAAGGCATTTAAAAGCATTCTGGCATGATTTCAATAAAAGCTTGAGATGGAATTTTTTTTTTCCCCTCCAGACTCTCCAAATGGCCACAATGGCCAGGACTGAGCCAGGCGGAAGACAGGAGCCTGAGGCTTCATCCAGGTCTCCCACACCAGTGTTAGGGATCCAAGCCCTTGAATCACCGGCTGCTTTTCCTGAGCTTTTAGCAGGGAGCTGGATGGGAAGTGGAGCGAGCCGGGACATGAACTGGCATCCTTATGGGATGACAGCATTTCAAGTAGCAGCTTTTACCTATCACACATGAATCTGGACTTGATGTTTTCCATTCTTTGAAAGTGTTTCTTGTGGGTTGGAGGAGAGTAGTTGAGACTTGAATGAGTAAATGCAAATTTGGCATAAAAATAGAGAGATGACCTCCTATGATAATTCTAGTTCTATTCTGAGAATATGACTTTCTATTCGTATATCTCTCTGTACTCAGCTACCATATTTGGCTATTTTGAAATAGTTTCCCCCCTTTTTTGGAAAAGATTTATTTATTTGAAAAGCAGAAGGACAAAGAGAGAGGGAGAGGTGGGGTAGGAGGTGAGAGAGAGAGGGAGATTGAGAAATATGCCATGTGTTATTTTGTCCCCCAAATGCCCACAACAGCTGGGGTCAGGTCAGGGCCAAGCCAGAGCCAAGAGCTCCTTCCACGTCTCCCACGTGAGTAACAGGGACCCAAGCATTTCAGTCATCATAGGGCCATTGTCAGGGAGCACAGCATAACAAACAGCTGCCTGCCACGCTAGCATCTCACACGAGTCAGGTTCCAGTCTCACCTTCTCCACTTCCAATTCAGTTTCCTGATAATGCACCTGGGAAGGCAACAGAGGTGGCCAAAGTGCTTGGGTCTTTGCATTTTATCTGGAGCACCTGGCTGGATTTCCGAGCACCTGGCTGGATTTCCGAGCACCTGGCTGGATTTCCGAGCACCTGGCTGGATTTCCGAGCACCTGGCTTTAGGCTTCTGGCCATTGTGGCCTTTGGAGAAGTTATTCAGTGGGTGAAAGATTTCACTGTGTGTTTCCCTTTCTTCCAATAACTCTGCCTTTTCAATCTGAAGCCAGGAGGTTCTTCCAAGTCTCTCACACGGGTACAGGAACCCAAGTTTTTGGATCATCCTCCACTGCTTTCCCAGGCCTCAAGCAGGGAACTGAATGGGAAGCAGGGCTGCTGAGACATGAACCAGCGCCCATATGGGATCCCAGCGCATGCAGGGCGAGGATCTCAGCCACTAGGCTACCGTATCGGGCCCATAAATAAATAATTCTTTTTTAGATTTATTTATTTTTATAGGAAAGACAGATATACAGAGAGAAGGACAGACAGAGAGGAAAATCTTCCATCTGATGACTCACTCCCCAAGTGACCACAATGGCCAGAGCTGAGTTGATCTGAAGCCAGGAGCCAGGAGTCTCTTCCGGGTTTCCCACTCGGCTGCAGGGTCCCAAGACTTTGGGCCGTCCTCGACTGTTTCCCAGGCCCCAGGCAGGGAGCTGGATGGGAGGGGGAGCAGCTGGAATTAGAACCGGCACCCATATGGAATTCCGGCACATTCAAGGCGAAGATTTTAGCCACTAGGCCACCCTGCTGGGCCCAAATACTTCGTAAATCACAATCTCTCTCTCTCTTCTCTCTCTCTCTCTCTCTCTCTCTCTCTCTCTCTCACAGACACACATACACACACACACGGAGTAACTGAGCCTAAAACCAGTCATTCTGCTATGAGATCCAAGTATCTTAAGTGGCAGCTGGCCCGCCCCCTCAGAAATAATTCCTGTCTAGGAATCAGTAAGAGTCAACTTTGCTCACTAAACTCCCCTATGTGACCTGATTTCAAAACTGCTTCTCCTTGTCCTCTTTTCTGTCTTTAGGACCCACCCCTCATTGCCCACCAGTGAACAGGGAGGAATGCGGTAGGGAGGAACAAAGAGAAATGGGGTAAGAGAGGAAGCGTGTCCCTGCCTTGAAAAGGGCCAGAGAGCTGCAGGAGGGGCCACAGTCAGTTTTCATCAGTTTTATCTTTCCATTGCTCTCCCCCCTTCCAGCCAAAATGAAGCTGACCCTGGTCCAGATGTTCTTCATGCTGCTGCTGCTGCTGCTGGGCGTGGGGATGGGCCTGGGGCTGGGCCTCCGGATGGCCGCAGCAGTCCTGGAGGACAGCGGGCAGTCGCTGAAAGAGTTTTGGTCTGGTGACTTTCAGGACAGAGTCGAGGCCACCGAGAAGGCAGCTCAAACCACAGCAAGTCCGGAGATGAGCCACACGCGAGTAAAACAACCTGGCTGGCCAGAAGAGGGCACGGGCAGGACGGAGGAGTCTGCAGGGGACAGGATGCTCAGAGCGGAGGCCCCCTCCCGCAGCCACAACCAGTACCTGAGATTTGACTTGCTGTCCAGGGACTGCAACACCATGATGGCCGAGAAGGTGAAAGAGAACAACCGCAGCTGCATCTCGCAGTACATTTTCATCCACGAGGAACCCAAGACAGTCAAAGCCGTCTGCAAAACTCCCACCGTGGCCTGTGAATCCAAGAATGGCAAATGTCACAAAAGCCCACGTCCTTTCAACTTGACCTTCTGCAAATTATCCAAACCAGGCCAAGTTACTCCCAACTGCCATTATCTCACTTTTGTTCTGGAGAAGCACATTTTTATGACTTGCAATGACCAGAAGGTCCACATAGCGCCATGAGCGGCCGATCCGCTCTTTCTTCCCTTTTCCTTTTTGAGGTCCTCTCTCCCATTCCTCTCCTCTTTACAGATCCTGCAGAGAAGATTCTGGGAAGAGAGGATGGACCATGTGTTCTTTCTGTCCTGAAAATTTAATTCTTCTTTGCCTTGGGGTCACCCATCTTGTAGTTTGTACGCGGAATTAGAGGTGGCAGAGTGGGGTAGTGATGCCTGGTTTGACTAGGTTCTCTGTCTCGCCTCACCTCCTACTTCTCTGGAGAAGAGAAAAGCACAGAGCTGCTCTAGCCCCACCCTTGGTCTCGGGGTGAGCCTGTCTGACGCAGTGTGATGCATCCCCTGTCCTTTCCCGTTACCCACCCCAGTCCTCCGTGGCAATTACATAAGACAGCTCGGCTTTGCACAACTGCACTTCTCTTGTGTGGATTTTATTCAACTGATTCTGTGTCTGGTTGCATAGAATAGTCAGGTGGGTCAGGGTGTTTTCTCTGAGGCTGGAAAAACATACGGCACAGGCTGGGGGATCTGCCAGTGGTGTGCTCTGGGGTGCAGACCAAGGTAGACGTGCTGGGGTAGGGTAGGCACTCTTTTCCAGCCCCTCTTCACCCTCTTTTCTCTTCTTCCAGTTTTTTCTCAGTTTCCTTGCTTCCTCCTGACCCTCTCGCCTTCCTTCCTTCCTTTCCTTTCCTCTGTTCTCTTCCTTTTCTTTTGAGACCCTCCCTACACTTCTCTAGGTCCTTTCAGAGTTTTAATCAGCCAATACTTGTCACTTGCGCTATCCCAGGTAGACAAGATGTTAGTTCTATATTCAGAGTCTGACGCAGGGTTTGAGAGGGAAGAAGTATGAGTCAGAAGGTGAAGCTGGGGGCAGGGGAAGTAGTTCCAAATTAAGTCTTAAAAGTAGACTGCCACTCACACCAGAAGCTCAAAAAGGATGAGGAACCAGCAGGACAGGGTGGGGGCGGGGGGAGTCCTCATCTCAGCACCTCTCTACCCTTTTGCTGCTCTGAAGAGGATGTAAATTGGTGAAAAGACCATCTCAACAGGAAAATTATTGAATCTACTTATTGAAGAGGATAGCTATGGGGCTGAATAAATAGAGGACACAAGTGGCATCTCTTAGCTTGTTTCTTCTAAATCCCAATATCTCAACAATGAGCATTCATGAGCTTCAGCTTGGGATGCATCCATCCCACACAGAAGTGCCCGGGCTTGAGCCCTAGCTCTGCTTCCAATCCAGCCACCTGCTAACGGATATGCTGGGAAGCAGCAGATGGCAAACCAAGTACTTAGGGCCCAGCCACCCATGCTGGAGACCAGAATGGGCCTCCTAACTCCTGGGTTGGGGCCTGGCCCAATCTTCGCTATTGTAGGTATTTGGGGAGGGAGTCAGAGGATGGAAGATCTCTCTCTCATATACACACATATATATGTCTTTAAATAAAAATTAATGGAAAGAAAAGAAACATAGAGTCTCTAATTTTTAAAACAGGGGATTCGGTGCTGTGACTTAGCTGGTTTAGGCTCAGTCTGTGGCACTAGCATGCCATATGAGCACTGAGTCAAGTCTTGGCTGTACCACTTCCAATTCAGCTCCCTGTGAACGCGCCTGGAAAAGGAGTAGAAGATCATTCAAGTAGTCTCTGTACCCACATGGAGACTCAGAAGAAGCTTCTGGTTCCTAGTTACAGGTGAACTGTGCTCGGGCCATTGTAGTCATTTAGGGAGAGAACGAGCAAATGAAAGATCTCTGTCTCTCCTCTTTCTGTCACTCTGCCTTTCAATACAAATAAGTCTTTAAAAGTTAAAAAACATAACCAAAAGCAAAGCAGTGCAGTTGGTGCTACATAGGAGCAGGCAGACATCTGTGACCGTGGCTGTAAGAACTCACTGTGTGGTTTGATTGTAGGATTTCCTCCCCTCTAGCATTTTTCTCTGCGTCACCTTCCCAGACCCCAGGGACACATACGCATGAGCAATTGGAGAGAGAAAAGAGTCTGGTTCTTTTGAGCTAGCTTTTAATTTCCCACTTAGTCCCTTCAATTATTCCATAATGTCCTCTGTCCTTCCTGTTCTTGTAGGCAGGCAACCACTTGCGTATATATTATCTCTATATCCTCACTGCCCTCCCCGATTCAATATTTTCCTTTCCGCCTCTGACTCATGCCTCCTGACAGTGACCTCACAGAAACCATGCTGTTGGGCAGGAAGTGTCAAGACCTGTGGGCTGCTGTGACATTTTAGATGCGAGCTGAGGAGTCGCAGGAGGTTCTGAACTGGCCTAGGGAAATTTCTGCTGTAATGGGGGGAAACCCATCTCTGGAGAAAGAAGCAAAGACAGTGCAAGGCAAGAGAGCTTGGAAGGGTAAGGACATACCAGCGGAAAGAGTGTGTCTTAGAGAAAGTCAGCCCGGTCAGGAATTTGACCAGTGACCTCAGGGCATTAGGTTTAGCAATGGAAAGTGAAAGGATTCTTAGCCAGCACCGGAAGGGAGAACTATCAAGAGACTAGAAGCAACTGTACTCTCCAAACTGTGGATGTGGCTACATTCTCCTACAGATTTCCACCAGCTTTTCTCCCTAAGGGATGCCATAGTGCTTTCACAGAGTCCCACGACTTCCTCTTGACTTCCTCTTCGTTTGGGTAAAGTTTACAAGTCAGGCCATAGAACCTAGCTCAGGAAAGAAATCTGCAAAATACTCTACAGGCTCCTAGTGGCTTAAGCAGGAAAAACAGCTTCCGCAGCCAGCCTGGGGAGGGGGTGACAGGCTCTGTGGGTTTCCTGCCTCCCAGCCACGATTAACTCCTAACAGCCTGAACTCTGCTGAATTCACAAGGCTTTCACTAATTCCTTAAAATAAAATAAAATAAAATAAAATAAAATAAAATAAAATAAAATAAAATAAAATAAAATAAAATAAAATAAAATAAAATAAAATAAAATAAAATAAAATAAAATAAAATAAAATAAAATAAAACAGATACATTTATTTTTATTGGAGAATAAAAATATTGGAGAGAGACAGAACATTTCTCCATCCGCTGGTTCACCCTCCATTTGGTGGGAGTCACAAAGGCCAGAGCTGAGCAGGGGCTTGAACCAGTGTCCTGTGGGAAGGCTGGTACAGGAGGATTAGCTAACTGAGCCCTTGCACTGGGCTTTCACCAATCCTTCTAACACCACAGACATTTCCTGCCTATCCCGAGTTAGTTCTACTGCGGGACCACAACTTATTTGAAGTAACTCCTGACTAGAGTGTTTAAGCTACATGACTTTACATATATTTGTTTGGGTACATAAATTATGTTTGATTGTGAGTATTGATCAGATTCTTGTTTTGTTGTTGTTGTTGTTGTTGTTAAGCTTTATTTTTATTGGAAAGTCAGATATACAGAGAGAAGAAAAGACAGAGAGGAAGATCTTCCGTTCCCTGATTCATTCCCCAAGCAACTGAAACGGCCAGAGTTGCACCAATCTGAAGCCGGGAGGCAGGAGCCTCCTCCGGGTCTCCTGTGTGGGTGCAGGATACAAAGCCAAGAGCCTAGAAATCCATGCAAGTTTCTCAAGTGGGTGGCAAGGACCCAAGTCCCTGAGCCACCATCTGCTGCACTCCAGGATGTGTTAGGGGGAAGCTGGGGTCCAAGGGAGCAGCTGAGACTCAACTGGCACTCAGATATAGGATGGAGGCATCTCAAGCTGGGTGGGACCCTCTGCACCACAGTGCCTGCCCTAAGGCTTCACAATAAATGACTCAGGGATAATTGGTATCCACAGGAAAAAGAATGAAATGAAAACCTCACCTCAACAATTATCCATTTTATTTGATTAATGCCCCCAGAGAGAAAGCTTTTGAAGTTAATGTTGAGAGACAAAGTTTCTTTCTTTCTTTCTTTTTTTTTTTTTTAAGATTTACTGTATTCTCAGTGGAAAGTCAGATCTACACAGAGGAGGAAAGATAGGAAGATCTTCTGTCTGCTGATTCACTCCCCAAGTGGCTGCCACAGCCGGAGCTGAGCAAATCCAAAGCCAGGAGCCCGGAGCCTCTTCTGGTTCTCCCATGTGGGTGCAGAATCCCAAGGCTTTGGGATGTCCTCAACTGCTTTCCCAGGCCACAAGCATGGAGCTGGATGGGAAGTGGAACAGCCAGGATACAGACTGGTACCTCTGTGGGATCCTGGCACTTGGAGATGGAGGATTAGCTTATTGAGCCATGGCAGCGGCCCCTAATTTTAACTTCCAAATTTTCTTGATCTATTCACCAACGTACTGGAGAGTTGACGGTAGTTTGGAAGAGTTTGCTTTCCCAAGTGTTTATAGGGTTTTTATCCTGAGGTGTCCCCTACTTAGAACCAATTTTTATGGTTATGTGTGTCATATTTCGTGAAAGGAGTAGGAAACATGTGATATCTACAAACTAGCACTCGAAGCTGTCTCATCTCTAAGGGATTGAGTGTTCTTGCTTTCAGATTGTGTCACTAGAAGCAAGTTCCAAACCCAGAAACCACATCAAAGTCACTGTCCTTTGAAGCACTTTATTTCTCCTACTGGACTAGAAAGTTCCATGAGTGTGTCTTGGGAGCACACTTCAGGCCACCATTTCCTATTCCTGCTAGAGTTGGCTGTCCTTCCATTGCAGGTGTTCATACACAGATCACATTCTAGAGGTGTGCAGACACATCCTCAGGCGTTAGCCAGGTCACTGTGCAGTGACCCCCGCTCACGTGGCCTTGGAGAACTGTTGGGGCCAGCAGGAGGGAGGTTGATGATTACAAGGAGTGCAATGAAATAACCATTCATAATTTGGATGATTGAGGATCTTGTGGATAGGGTGACTGACTTCTCAAACCCCTCCTCTTTCTTGAAGGCGTCTTTGTTGTGGGAGACACCTGCACCAGAGATGGTTTCTTCATTGCTGAGGAAGACTTCACTTAGGGCACCTTTGTGTTCATTATTCTAACTCCTTGATCTCATTTACAGTAACAGGAATAAGTTCTTCGAAAATATTTGCCCATTTACAAGTAATTACAGCAAGCCCTTTCTTATAAAATGAATCATATTGACACTCAGGCATTTTGGTACCTTTTGTTAATTTACAATAGACTCCTTCTATGAGCTCCCTACCTCTGTTACATTTCTTAATTCCATCTTTACATTCAGCAAACCTAGTATAACATATTTTTTCCACCTCATTGTAAGGCATTACGATGAAATAATGTTCTGCCATACAACGAGACTTATGGTGCACACTTTTTAGCAAGATTGTGTCAGTGCAGAAGAGGGAATCATATAATGGCCTTTCTGACCCAATAAGGAAATCGTTAATGAATTTTTCTCTGACAGGCGGTTTGGTAGGACCACTACCAAAAAATTCTCGTACAGCTTCATCGTAGTTGTACATTTCATCAGGCTCCATGTGATAATGGCTTCTCCTTTTAGACTGTAACGGCTGTGCCAGCTGCAGCAGCAGTAGAGACAGTGGGTGTATCGGGACCAGAATCCTCAACATTTCTTTTGGTGGAGACTAAAAGAGATAAGGAGATGTCATCTATTGTGAAAACGTGTTGTTTTGCTTTCCATACAGGACAGTTTTCTAACACTGTGATTCTAAACTGTAAGATTTTGAACTTTAAGTTAAAATTGACCATTCACATATAACTTTCTTTGACTTAATGGTTAAAAGTGTACTAGTTCAGAGATTGTGGAAGAGAGAGAGAGAGAGAGAGAGAGAGAGAGAGATGTGAAAGGAAGAGGAATAAGAAATAGAGATAAAAAAAAAATCAGGAGAAAAAAAAAGATTGAGCAATACAGTAAGCGGGAGTGGGGGCGGGGGGCGGTGAGGGATGAAGAAGGAAAGAGGAGATCAAGATACCGGTGGGGAGAGAGCTGGGGGCAGAGGTGACTCAGACCTCTCTCCATGTGGAGCAAATACATCTGGCCCCTTCCTAGGAAGTGAGGACTTTTGTTGAAAAGAGACACAAGTGGGCCTGGTGTTGTGGCAACACCCAGCTGACAACTGAAATTCTGTTGCTGCTTTCTAGGTTCCTGCTAAAATTCCTGGGAAACCAGCAGATGGTCCAAGTGCTTGGGACTGTGCAGCCCCGTGGGAGCCCTGGAAGAAGCTCTTTAGTCCTGGCTACTGGCTCAGGTCCAGCCCAGCCCCAGACATTGCCGTGACTAGGGGAGTGAACCAGTGGATAGAAGATCTTGCCCTCTCCCTTGTAATTCTACCTGCCAAATAATTGGAATATATATATTTTTTAATCTTAAAAGGAGAGAGAAGTTATTTACCATCCCCTTGGCATCCTGCTTTGATGAGGAAAATTCTTTAACCACATGTTCTATTCTTCTTTTTAAATTTTATGTTTTAATTTAATTTTTTATTGGAAAGGCGGATTTACAGAGAGAAGTGGCCACAATGTCCAGAACTGAGCTGATCCAAAGCCAGGAGCTTCTCTCATGTTTGTGGAGAGTCCCAAGGCTTTGGGTTATACTCTACTGCTTTCCCAAGCCACAAGCAGGGAACTGGAAGGGAAATGGAATGGCCAGGATTAGAACTCCCCATTAGCCGCTGGACTACTATGCCAAGCCCTTAATCCTTTATTTATTAATTTAACCTTTGATTTCATGTTTCTCAAAGTACTTTCTTAACATATGTGAATTTTCATTTGTATTCTGTTACTCTTATAGATTAAAACATTTTTACTATCTTGAGTTTATGTTCATGTATAGCAGAAAGTTGATTTTTCTCACAGGGTCATGGTTAACTCCTACTTGTAGACTTGAGAAGGTCCTGCGAGAGCTTGTTCGGCTGTAAGAGCTTAGAATAACCGCTTGATTTTGCTTCTGTATATTGCTTTCTGCTGAGCAAGAGTAGAGCCATGTTGGAATAAATATAGAAAAGTTATTTCGTGAAGCAAGTAAAAGTTTCAGTTTCCTAGACATGAACAAGGCAGCTGCGGGAATAAAAGAGATAAGGTAGCAAGGCCGGAGCAGCAAGGCCAACACAAGAATATAGTGGATAAGAAAGGGAGGCACAACAGTCTGAGAAAGTGCAGACTGTTATGCCAAGCCAAGGGAGCCCTGGCGCTGTCTAATCTCAAAGTAAAATGCTAGCTGTTATGCGAAGTTTGCGGTTTTGTCCTTTAAAAAGGTGCTTTAACCTGCTTGGGGCGCGCAGACTCCTGGGTGTCTCCAGAGACTCTGTCGCCCATTCGCGAATGATCAATAAAAATCCTCATGCTTTTTACAGCCTCTGCTTTGTGACTTGTCTTGCCGAACGGAGTGGCTCCCCTTCCACGGGGTTGGACTCTCCCCGAGTCTAACACGGCCAGGGTGTCTCCTCAAGCAGAGGTCCTGAGTGCCAGGACTTTATTAACCACACCACACACATGAATTTATAGTAAAAAGAAAAGATTGGTCTGGGCTTTCTAAGTACATCAGTGTGCACTTCAGATGGATACCTTAGTGGTGTCTAAAAAGCAAGTCAACATTTAAGTAGAAAAAGCCAAACAATTTTTCAAAGGTTTATTTATTTTCATTGCAAAGTCACAGATATAGAGAGAAGATACAAAGAGAAAGATCTTCCATTTGATTCACTCCCCAAGTGACCACAACAGTCGGAGCTGCGTAGATCCAAAGCCAGGAGCCAGGAGCTCTTCCTGGTCTCCCACGTGGGTGCAGGGTCCCAAGGCTTTGGGCCATCCTTGACTGCTTCCCCAGACCATAAACAGGGAGCTGGATGGGAAGCAGGGCTGCTGGGATTAGAATTGGTACCCATATGAGATCCTGACCAGTGCAAGGTGAGGACTTTAGCCGCTAGGCCACTGTGCCAGGCCTAAGCCAAATAATTTTAAAATCTATATTAAGACATTAATACACAATGATCATATAATTGTTACATAACCTCAATCACAAAAAGGAAAGTTTAAATTGTGTTTTTCAAATTAGTGGCAATTACAGTATCCTATAGGGACCATGACTATAGTTCAACAAGCTAATCCTCCACCTGCAGTACAGGCACTGGTTCTAGTTCCAACCATTCTACCTCCCATCCAGCTTCCTGCTTATGGCCTGGGAAAGCAGAAGAGAACAGCCTAAGTGTTGGGACCCCTGTACCCACATGGAGACCGGGGAGAAGCTCATGGCTCCTCATTTTGGACCTGCTTAGCTCTGGCCATTGTGGCCTTTTAGGGAGTGAGCCAGAGGATGGAAGATCTTTCTCTCTGTTCATCCTTCTTTCTGTAAATCCGTCTTTCCAATAAAATTATATAAATCTTAAAAAATGGTAATATCTTACAAACCCAGTGTTTTTAAGAGTGTGATAAAAGAGGGCCTGATGCAACAGCCTAATGGCTAACTCCTTGCACAGGTATCCAATATGGGCACTTCATGTCCCCACTGCTCCACTTTCCATCCAGCTCCCTGCTTGCAGCCTGCGAAGGCAGTAGAGGATGGCCCAAAGCCTTGCTCCTGGCTCCTGGGGTCAGCTCAGCTCCGGCCATCATGGTCACTTGGGAAGTGAACCAGCAGATGGAAGATCTGTCTCTCCTCTCTGTAAATCTGCCTTTCCAATAAAAATAAATACATCTTTAAAAAAAATGTGATAAAGAGAGAAATCATGTATCTTTCATCAGAAAGAAATTGTTTTAATAGGTTTTTTTTTCTGAAAAGATAAATATAACCCAAAACTTGAGAAGCTATATCCTTTCCAATACTTAATCTGTTAACCTTTTATGAAAGTTAGAGAGGGAGAGACAGTAGATGTAGCAAGATCTCTAAGATCTCAACAGCCAGGTGTAGGCCCAGCTGAAACCAAGCCTCCCACTTCGGTATCGGGGACCCAAGCACATGAACCTCAACAGCTGCCTCTGGGTAAGCATTCCTGGGAAGCTACAAACAGAAGCAGAAGCAGCACAAACTCAGGCATGCTAATACAGGCTACAAGTGTCCCAGTGGCATCCTCACAGCACCAAAAATGCACTCCAGTCCCGGCATTGTATCAGCTAGAATTTTCAGTCATAAAAATGGCTTCTGGACAGATGTATAGCACGTTTCAATTGAGAGACAAAAATGTCAAATGTTTGGAAATGTATATATTAAACTTCTTTAAAATATAATATCTTAAAATGTAGGGAAGGTTCAGTTGACCATGTTAACAATAATAATCATTTTCATAAAAGCTGATATTTATTGAGGTGCTATTCAGTAGTCATGATTTACATATTCTTAGAATGAGCTATTTTCCAGAATTTACAAATGTACGACTCAGTGGAATTTTATGTACTATGATATGATATCAAAAAAGCACTGTCTGATGGACTGTGAGAGAAATCCCAAATAAATACCTGAAATGTGGAAGACTGCTGACTCGTAGAAGACTCTACTGACTCGCAGAGACAGGAGTCTCAGGATGACAGCAGGAGCACGAAGTTAAATTCCTCGCTGGACTCCCACTCTCACTGTCTCCTGCAGTCACACGGTCACTGATGCTGCTCTCAGTCTCGGTCCAGGCCAGGGCAGGCTGATCACACCTGCTGCTAGTCTTATATCAGGGTCACAGTAGGAAGGGCTTTCTTCTCCCACCGTCCGATATGGACGGCCTTTTTCCTGATTGGCCTTGCTTCTACTCAGAAATACCAATGAGGAGGAGAGGTCTTTAGATTGGTCAACTTGAAGGAATAAAGGAGAAACCACGCCATCAAAATCCTGGCAGAATCCCAATTTTTGACAGCATGGCTGTTCACTAGCGCCCATCAATATAACAGGGAACAAATTCAGAAATAGACAAAGTGAGTTCCAAGTGACTGGGGAAAAAATCAAAACCCTGAATTTTACCTGTTTCATGAACTCTATCAATACAAATACAGCTTACATGAGGGAGAGAAGAAAAAAATGAGATTTTAGGAGATGATTATTTCAGAATGTTATGCTACAGCTTCAGTTTGTATTCTTTTCTTGAAAATGATCTATTTTACCAAAAAAGAGTAACAGCAAAATAATCATGAAAATAATTTACTTTTAGTATTTGAATTGAGCATGTTCCTAATTATGAGCTGTCAAATTTCCAGAACCCTATATATGTATTTTGAGATTTATTGGATTTTATTGGAAAGTCAGATATACAGAGAGGAAGAGAGACAGAGAGAAAGATCTTCCATCTGCTGGTTCACTCCCCAAGTGGCCACAATGGCCAGAGCTAAGCTGATCCCTCCAAAGCCAGAGCCAGGAGCTTCGTCTGGGTCTCCCATGCAGGTGCAGGGTCCCAAGGCTTTGGGCTGCTCTCGACTGCTTTCCCAGGCCACAGGCAGGGAGCTGGAAGGGAAGTGGAGCAGCTAGGACATGATCCTGGCATGTGCAAGGTGAGGACTTTAGCCACTAGGCTACCACACCGGGCCCAGAACCTTACACTTTGGTATCAGTGAACTCCCACTTTTTGTCAGCATCAGGACAAGCCCATTCTTTATGTGAGTGACTCTTAGGGATAGACCAGCTTTGCAAATGGAACCC